TAAAGTGAAGGGTGTTGTGGTCGTTAATATGACTACAAAGAGCTAAGACAATTCCCCACTCAACGGGGTCCAGAAACAAGCCTACAACCAGCTGTGGATCAGATTGTTTTCCTAAAGAAAAATTCTTTTAAAGAAAATGCTCCTCTCAATAGATTGAAATGGCGACTTGCCAGAATTGTCAGTCTTCATGAAAGTCCAAGGGATGGCAGAATTAGATCTGTGGATGTGGAGACTACTAGAACCAACCCTGACGGGTCGTGTGCAAAATTCTTATTGAAGAATCAGTCAGTTCAAAACCTGGTGCCTCTAGAAGCAGATTCTGAGAAGGCAGAAAAGAAATTCCTAACCAGCTTTGGAAGCTTTGTGAGCAAAAAACTATGAAAACAAGCAATTGAAGTTCAAAAAACTTTTATTAAACAAAATTGTGCAAAAGCATGATTACAAAACCAAAAAAACCCTTCAACCAAAAAAGAGAGACCCTTCACAAAAGGAACAACAATTCCGCCAAAAAAGGAAGTTCTTAAACATAACGAGACAGAGATGCCATATCTGCAAACTCTAAACCTCCCTCTCCCACAACCCAGGCCTTGTCTCCCACTTTTGATATAATAAATTTTCTCTGAGAGGAGTTTCCAATTCAAACTGATGATCCCACGACAAAACGTCTAGATACAGCTCTCTTGCGGTCTGAGCAAAAGAAGTCCGCAGAGAAGACCTCCAGGAACATCTTCTGACTTAAAATCTCGTCCATCCTGAAAGGGAGAAAAGAAAACATTGTAAATACTGAACTTAAAAGCACCAGTTTTTTGAGAGACTTACTGCCTGAAAGGATCACCTCCTGATCCAATAACTGCCGGGTTGATGTGGAAAGGTCCATTTCCAAAACATTCCTTAGGACCATGATCCATAGAATGATGGTGAGGAAGTCCAGGGGGGATCCCTGGAGCAGTTTTTCCACTGTCCAGCCAATATGGGCAGCTACCAGCACAAGCGAATGCTCCCCAAGTCTTGTTCAAGCACTGGGTCCACTCCAACCCAAAGCAAATAGCTGCAGCATGAAGCTGGGCAAAGAACAGATAGGCCCTAGTATGTATGTGGCCAAAAGACAACTTTGTACAATCTGACCTATCAAAAGCAGCAAGATGCCTAACCGGAGTCGGTACTGCCCACCATCCCTTCCCACCTGGAGCCCCTTGCCTCTTCCCAATTTTAGTCTTTAAACCATTGTACAAGGCCATCTGAAAAGCATGGCCGGCGCTTTCACGCCCTCTTTGACTCAAAATTGGAACCCCGTTATTCCTAAGGGGAATTAGAGGAACCCCTTGCAAGTCTAGATCCATCTTTTCTGTCAAATATGTATTACTCCCCTGTGCTAATGCAGGGGGAGCAGAAGCACCCAAAGCCAGGACTGGCGCATCAAAAGCACGAGAAAGTTCATCAAAATACCCATAGAGGGCCTGAAGAAAATGTCCAAAGTTGGGATAATGACGAATGACGTCAGGTTCAGTTAAATTCTTTAAATCATTTGTCCCCACTCTAACGAAAACATGGGTAAAACGGAAGGAAGAACTCAAATGAAGATCCGCATACACTCTGTTACGCATTTCCTCAGGAGAAACTACTTGTCCCTTGCCAACCAAGGCAGACCATCCACTCAATGAGTTGTAGTCATATTAACGACCACAACACCCTTCACTTTACGCACAACCCTTTTAAGCTAATGTATTTCCTCTACGCTTGGCTGCGCCTGGTGCGCTAGCAATTATATTTCACAATNGCGATTGCTGGTGAAAAAAGTTGAACGTCAGACTAGAAAAAGAGACTGAGGTAAAAAGTGTTTCTAATAGAGAGAATTGATTGTTGAATTACGAATCAATAATTTTAAGTTTCTCACCAACGAATTGTGTACAAAATTTGTTAACAAAATCTTTTAACCAGTCAAAGAAAAGTAAACTTAAAAACACCAGTTGTCAATAGAAAATGGATCCCCCGCGCAAAAGTGAGAGTGTCGAAAGTGACTACGTGAGCCAAGTGCGTTTAGACGACCAAACCTTGCAAAACACCATGTCGTTGCCTGTCCCCAAGGTAGATGAACTCCCCAGTGTCTGCAGGGCAAGAATTGCGAATGAATCCCCTGAGGCTGTGGTTGGATATTTGACTGAGTTAGTGAGATTGCTTCAAGCTGAGAATGTCCGGGTTAGAGCCCTAGGAGATGCCAAACCTAGACCCTCCGCTGAAATCAGAGCTACATTAACGCGAGAAATCAAGTTCCAAGCGGATCAGCTTAAAAGTTACAACTCAATAATAGAGTCTCTCACTCCCAATTTAGCTGTGCTTAACAAAAGTACGTTAGCTATTGAGACCACTCAATTGTTGCTATTCGCAGCCCATTTAAAAGATGAGACCAAAAGGAGAAAGGCCAAGGTTGGACAAGCTTTGGGCATTAAAACCCAGCTACAATCTAGAGAGCTTACTTTAAACCAACTAGATGATCCAACCAAGGACAAGGTAGTCTTTTCAACATGAAGACCTTGCGCGATTCCAGTGCTTACAAAGGTGATAAAATTATCGCAAATAATATCCTGGCAAACATCCCTATGTTCTCGGGAGCCAAAGGCACTTGGGTAGACTGGTGGAATGAAGTCTGCCTAGCTGTAGCCGATTGCAAGGTGACTGATGCGCATATGCGGTCAGTAATATGCCAGAGAGTCACTGGAAAAGTGAAAGAGTTCGTAAACAACGCGACCCCAGGGTTACTGGACCAACCTTATCCTACAATAGTAAGAGCTCTTGAAAAGGCATACGGTGGTGATTTGATGGGTTTGGGCGTGTTAAAACTGCAGAAAATCTCGCAGGGTGACCTAGAGAACATCCTCGATTATTCGGTATGCATTAAGAAAATTGGACTTGAGATGTTGGGAGAAGGCCCCAGTAAGATCGAGGTTTTATGAGTTGAAAACTCTGAGCCTAAAATAGTCGCTAACCCTATGTTAGCTGAAGAAACTTTGCGACACAAATGTCGCATGGCTCAAATAGATGAGATCATGCTGAGTCACTTTATGGCAGGCTTACAACCTGATTTCATAAAGAGATTCAGCGTCGTTCCCGTAACGTTAGAGCAAGCAATAGAGGCCGCCACCAATGTTGAAAAATTGAGAAAATTTCAACAGACGGCCGAGTCTTGAAGAGTTTTTCGTACTTCAGCTGTAACCACTAGCGTTAGTCAAGTAGTGCGTACTTGTTATAATTGCGGAAAACCAGTTCACTATGCAACGGAATGTAGGGCACGTGGCAAAGTTCGGATAGGAAACAGTGCGAGTGGCTACCAAGGAGAGCAAAAGGCTTTACCTCCCCCGCAAGGGAGAAGACTAATGCTCTCTTTGCCAGCGGACAGTGGGCTTCCGCATGTGACTAGGGGATCCTGAGATGGTAGATCCCCAAGTTGCAGCAAAAGTCCCGACTCCCAATCGTTGAGTCCTGGCCAAGCAAGGGGCCAGGGAAAGGGCCAACGAGGCAAGGGACGCAAGGGAGCTAGATCTCCCTCCAGCAGTCACTCAGTGCGCACGGATAGGAGTATCCGTGTACAGTTCACATCCAAGGAGCAGCTAGATGGCCTGCAAATCAGAGGGATCAAGGAAGTCACAGGCAATGAGTTGGGAAACGACTGTTGACTGGACCTTCCACATC